ATAATATTTTTATCGTATTAAAGATATTCAATGTCGGAACAAAATATTAAGTATGTTTATGATTCACAATAAATCATCTTTATTGGTTTGGTTAGATCTAATTGTGAAACAATCTAAGAACATTACGAGAGCATTTAAAAAAAATTTTCTCTCAAAAAAAAAATATTTTACAATCTTTTTAAGCATAAATAATAAATTTTCTAGTTCGGTGAAATTTTGATTTCAAAGGACTTAGAAATATATAAAATATTGTACCTAAATCTGATTACAGCATTTCAGTGATTATTGAGAGTAAGTCGCCCGCGGTACACAACGACACATGAGACGCATATGAGTCGTCCATGAAACGTCGAGTAGAAGTGATGGAAGTAATACAAGTAGTCTAGGGAACGCGCGAGCTGTCATTTACATTCGAAGATGTGGCGCACACGCACAGAATCAAATGTGTGTACGTGACGTTGAAAATTTCTTTCGAATTTTGGTTTTTTGATCCTTTCGTTTTCCTTTTTTTTCGGTGTTGAAGGTTATTAGTCTTTAAACAAAATATTATGTAAAATTAATTTCCCGTGAGTGTGTTTTATTGCACTTAATTATGAAATAGAAGCTAAGTATTATTCGAAAAGCTCGTGCAGGGATGAACACGAAGGGAACTTAATATTATTCATTATTTAAAATGAATAGCTCATGTTTGAATCTTAAAAAAGTTCTCCATCAAACACAATCATATATTTAAAACGACATTATAAAATTTTTAGAACATTCAGGAAACTTTATTTTACTGTAAACATGCACGTAATAGTGACATGCATATGGTCACCTACTTGTGTTATTTAGAACAGTTGTTATTTAGATTATTAAAAATTATGAAAGTTAAATTTTTCCAAAAACGTAAGGTACTATTTTTACTAAATGATTATTGTTTCTTACTATTTTCAAAACAGTACTTCTAACAGAAAATAGTGCTGTACATTGACAAAGATTAAATAAATATTTTTTCTTAGTTAAATTCAGTAAAAAAAATTTTGATGCTAGATTTAAAAAAATGTTTTTAATATTTTTACGTACACTTTGTTGCATCTATGTATAAGAAAAATAATATCATAAAAAATTGAATGTGATCTCAAGCTTTGCTAAACTGGTCCCTCTAATTGCCCACTTCTATATTATTTAACGCCTCGTACATTAAAACTTTTTAAATTAACGCAAGTAGGTAAAAAAATTATGAACAAACGCATAAATAAACAATCAAATGAATAAATAAACAAACTGGAAAACAAACAAAACCAATTAAAATGTCCAAGGAGACGGACACCTTACATTAACTAACACGCTATAACACACCCTATCCACCTTTTGCTTTCAGAAAGTAAAATAACTCGAGTGTACTCGGTTCGATTGCTTATCTTGAGCCTTCCAGAGCTCGAGCGACGCCGCAGTGCGTTACGTAACTATATTTCACTGCTTTCCCACCCCCAACCCCGAAAAAGTCGATAAATCAATGGACCACTGTATCTCTCCCACCCACCCCAAGCTCCTCCACGGCAAGGATCGAATACATCAAAACTTAAATCGTCAGCGGATGACGACCGTAACGAAATCAATTTCCTCCCGGAATAAATTTCCGAACCGATGAATAACAATTTGTCACTCTATGTGTGTATATATATATATTTACACGCGCAACTTCCCCCGAAAGAAGATAGGCAGTTCCCTATAATTGAATGTAAATAAAGGCAAATGCACCCTGAGCTTCTCGTTGTCTCGGAGCATTTTTTTTTCCATCCCTCAGATTGCACTTTCAAAGCAAGAGGGATTGTAAAAAAAAAAAAAAAAAAAAAAGGGTTTCCGAAATTTGGAGGATGTCTGGTTTTCAGCTCTCTCGAGTTGTCACAGATTTTCCCGTCTGAAAGGCGCGCCTTCGCACACACGTATACGCCCGAACGAGCCGGACGAAGCGGTTTTAATTATCTTCCGGGACGCACGTGGTGCCTACATACATTTTCCCCCTTGAAAGCCTCGCCGGACTTAATAACCGCTTTCGAGCTCGGGAATGTGCGCTCAAAGCTCCGCTTGTTTTCCTCCGCCTTTCTTCGGCCCCTTGTATTATATAGCTCTCACAAAGGGTATTCATATCAGTTGTCGTGTTACGTGTGCTTTAATTCCCTTTAACTGTAAATTGTATATATTATTTTGTGCATTGTATACTTTTACAATAATTACTTTTACTACGTTTTAAAATAATATTTTGGATAATTTTTTATAACTATAAATAGGGAGAAGATACAATAAAAAAAAAATAGTTTGAAAATCTACAAAACAAATAGTTAGTTGATCAATCATTGATTTAGATAATAACTAAACGTAAAATGTGACGGACAGTAGCAGNCCCCCCCCCCCCCAAAAAAAATATTGTAAAAAAGGGGGGAAACCAAACAAACAATATTCCTCGTGAATTTGTGGGATGCTATGAAGCGAAGGTTTCCTCGGTTGGGCTGAAAATTCATCAAGGAGAAGCCACTATATCTAGTGGCAAAACGGATTGCGCGGGAATGATCAATGCGTGAGACCAAACTTTCTAATTTAAGACACAGCCGCTCGCACCATCACCAAACCCAAGCTCATCAAGTTTTGCTTTCTCCTCCACCTCCTCTTTCGTCATCCCCGGCTTGCACCCCCTCTACTCCTCGTCGTTCATATTCGCGGTCGGAATATCGCGAGGGAAACTTTTCCACCTCGACAATTATAATGAATCAATGGGGATTCGTAGCAGAAACTTTGCTAATGGCAATCAAAAGATAAGTTATTCCGGAACGATTATAAATGTACGTATAGCTCTTAGTATCGAATATTTAACGACCTGATCGTTTTGAACTGATACTTGGCATCGTTACGTTTTTTTACGGTCTATTCGTTATTTTAAAGTGTAGTCCATGGCTTTATAATGATTATTGATGCGAAAATATATGAGTGTATTAATGTATATTCGAATACGCGATTTAAACTTTTTTCTTTTATATTTACTGTGTTGAATTTCTTCAATCCCTAATCCTCTCATCTGACCTAGGATTTTTGTGTTCTCAATTTTTTGTAGCTTCTGCTTTAGTAAATTTTTTTATTGGCTCTTTTTCTTTATTTTTAAAGTTTGCTCCTCAGAGCACTGTACAAATACAGCTATTTCTATCTAATCAACTGTTCCATTTCTTTACAGCACTAATCCTTTTTCAAATCTCATTGAAATTCTCATATCCTTTCCGTACTTCACCAAGCATGCTATACACAGTTTGGTATTCATTTTCTTCAACTTTTTTAATTCTTCCTACTTCATGTCTTTATTTTTTTTTCTTTTTCTTGTTTTTGTTCTACCTTTTTTCATTTCGCTCTCAATTTTAAAAAGAATCATTACCTTTTTAATTCTACTTTCATTAAACTTCTTTCACAGAATTATTTAAATCATGTTATCATGTGTTTTTCTTTATTTTTTGGCGTTTTTTTTCTAATTTTACAACCTCTTTTCATGTCCTCTTTAATTTGGGCCAAATTATTGCCCCGATATCAAACCTTGACTTACCAATTTATTGCCATAATAATTTTCATTTATGATCACTATATTTTACTTTATTTTTCTTTTTCTCTCTTTTATGTACTTAAACTTTTTCTGTTTAGTATGTTCAAAAAAATGTTTTTTTCTTCTATTCCTTTTTTCTTATTTTCCATTCTCTTAACTCTTTTCTAGTTTCTTTTTCCAGCTTTTTCTCTTCTATTTGTTTTTGTCTCTGGATCCATTCGTTTTCTCCTTAAGTCCCTCTATTTGGGTTTCCAAGAAAATTTTACTTTTTCTACTGAAAAAGCTAAGATTTAGATCAAACGTAACCTCAAATTGCACCTCTCTCATTCTTTTAACTATGCTAAAAATTCTTAATGTGATTTAAATTTAACATCTTCTACTTGTTCAAACCCACAGATTACCTCGGCACAGCAACAAGAACGGGAGCAGAAAAGATTGAAAAAACAGACTAAAAACCATCCGAGCAGGGTCCACCAGAGAAATCCATACAAAACGGATCAGCCGTCAATCAGATATTCACAAGCGGCAATCGCTGCGTCGGCGGCAAAACTGGCGACGTCGAGGACGACGAGTGCAAGGGGCCTATCGCGGTGATCCCGCTAGGGGGCGCGGTCAGGCGTCCATAAACGCAATACGCGAGTGGCGCAGCTCTTGGAACGTACAAACAAGCCAAGAGCTCAGCCAGCCCAAAATCCTTTGGGAGGCGCATCAAATAAGCCGGCTTCGGCGTCTGCGCGGCTCCACGCTCAACGAACGTTGGGGGTGGGGGGGGGAGAGGTCGAGGGCCTGCTTGTGGCATATAACTGCAAACACAGATATATATACACAGATAAGGCTCGCCTGAGACCATGATCGATCCAAGCTCCTCTGAGGAGGACAGTGAGGAGGACCAACACGTCCACCAGGCCGTTGGTGGTAGGGGCCGTGGCGGGTCGTCCCATCATCATGGGGCGGCGACTGGAGGCCCCGGGGCTGGTCACGGTGCCCGCTACCACGCTGTCGGTGGGGTGACGGGTCCCGCTGGTGGTTCGATCGGAGGTGGCCATGCGGGTGCCGGCGGCATGGGCAGTCCTGGGGGCCCGGGTTCGATGGGACAGGGTTCACCGGGCCCGGCAGGTCTTGCCGCCGGCGTCGTTGGGTCGCATCATCATGGCCGTGGAGGCGCCAAGGCTGGCCTAATGATAGCGGCAGAGCAGGACGCGGCTCTGTCTGGTCAGTCGGGCCTCGATGTGCCCGGCGGCCACAGTGCCAGGAATTCTCTGTCGCCATCGATGAGCGCGCACCAGGATGCGGCCAACTACGCGGGCAAAGCTGGTCAGAGGCCCATCAGTCCGTCGCCTTCCGTCGCCAGCGAGAAGACTGAGCAGGAACTGCAGGTGATGGTCGTATTTATATTGACTCCACTATGAGTACATATCATGTAGCGCCATCGATGTCAGAGGGATGAACTAAATTTTTCACCATAAAAGCCTTAAACTTCGTAGGAGAATCAATACTTTTATTTATAAACCATGGTGATACAACATATTTAACTGATATTTTTTGATATAATAAATTATTTAAAACAATATACATCCAAGAATAAGAAAAATAGAACTTTTGCTTTAAGCTGAGAATACGTGTAACTTGATATGTTTAACTGATCAAGGTGACTACAGTGCAATATATATGTTAGTGCCATGTATGTATGAATTTTTAGGTTATGAGAGCAGATCGCTGGTGGCGTCCTCTTGCGTTCATATACCTAGGTATATACAGAATTTTGACACTTCAGTAATAAATAATTTGAGATATTTTTTGAAAATGCAAGACTTAATGACACATATTTTTTAAACATAATATGGTTTTTTTGTTTTATATAACGGTAAGGTCTACTAGACTCGTTTTCTCGTAAAACCTATGTAAAACATATTCCTCCAATAGAAAGGTGAGATTTCAAAGAGTATTATTCAATTTAACTTAGCTTTATTAATGCTGGAAAATTTAATTCGTTACCTTGGCATGGGTGGCTTTACATGATAGCTTGTAATTTAGACTCAATACCTTGATTCTAAAATATGGGCAACCTGCATTTTTAGGTGTTGAGATTCTTAAAACTATGTATCTATATCAATCCAAAATATGGATGTAAAGACATTTTATCAATGTACTCGAAAGAACTTGTAAATTTTACTGCATTTTCCAAACCACCTATATTATTTCATTACCTTTGTGTGATGAAATTAAAGAACCTCTTTACGCATGTATAAAGGAGATGCTAGGATTTATTCCAGAGCACGTAATGTACAGAAATTTGTTGTGGTAAATAACAAATGGAGTAAACACGTAATAATGATTCTTGTATTCTGATGAATTTCATGCTGTATAGTATTCTAGATTGAACCCTAAGCATCTTTATGTGGATTATTAGTATTTGTTAAAAAACAAACCGATGATTAAAATTTAATTTTCTAAACGACGGGATTTCGTAGGATAAACAAGAGCGTGAGGAGGAAGAGAGAAAAACGAGGCTTCAGTTATACGTGTTTATTTCGAGGTGCATCGCATACCCGTTCAATGCAAAACAACCAACGGATTTGACAAAGAGGCACATGAAAATCACGAAACAGCAACTGGAAACGCTGTGTTCCCGCTTTCAGGTAGGTTTTAGCATCTCTTTTCGTTTGGTCTAGTTGTAATAAATCAATAAAAAAAAACAAGTCATCCAAAAATTTACAATAGCAATGGTATGTCACAAAACAAAACCAAATGGGAATCCCCAAGTCAACCATAGTACACGAGAAAAATCTTACGATAGAGCCGGCACGATGTAGATTCATATCAGATCACGCAGTGACTTGAATAAATAATAAGCCAAGTAAAGATACTGCGGAAGACTTTCAGATTCTGAAAGTAGATTTGTCCTGGCAGAGACTCATTTCCGACATAATAAAGCTCTTGTGGAAAATACATACATGACATTGTAATGGGACATCGGGTGACTTATCATTATATACTTATTTCGTAATAAATATCTACTTTAAGCTTTCGATTACCCTCGTTTTGCATAAAAAATTTTAAGATAACATGTACGACGGTCATCTAAAATCTGTTCGCAAATGACTCGTGATAAAAGCCTTCGAGCGAAACATTGGTTATATTCGTAGCCGAAGCCCCGGGAGCTAAGAAGTCTATATCGTATGCAAACAAGCCTTTGCTCGTAAAGGCATCGATTTCAACAAAATCGAAACTCGATATGACTCGGATATGACGCTACGGACTACGTGGAAACGCAATTAAATCCTCGATATTATATACACTTCGATTCGGCGGTAACTTTGGCAAATTCAATATGCAGGTACGGCGACCACGTTCAATCCTGTATCCTAATATTTCTGATATTTCTGTTTATCACGTACAAATCTATACCATTGCTATTAAACATCCGAAATTTGTGTAGTTGTACGACATGAGTGTTTATTACGCAACGTGGGTTTCAGAGCTTTTTGAAAGGCGAGACAAACATAATGGCCGACGAGGCTTTCCACAACGCGATTCAGAATTACTTTGACGTATTTCTGAAGTCAGAGCGGGTGGTGCGCATGGTGCAGAGCGGCGGTTGCTCACAGCACGATTTCCGCGAGGTATTCAGGATCAACATCGAGAAGCGTGTCCGGAGCCTCCCGGAAATCGACGGTCTGAGCAAAGAGACTGTGCTTACGTCCTGGCTGGCCAAGTTTGATTGTATCTTCAAGGGTACCGGTGACGATGACACCAAGAGGCCATCTAGGATGCAACAGCAGTCGCTGAATTCCGAGCTGATACTGTCGAAAGAACAGCTCTATGATATGTTCCAACAAATACTTGGCGTTAAGAAATTTGAGCATCAAATATTGTTCAACGCCCTCCTGTTGGATTCAGCCGATGAACAGGCTGCCGCCATCAGGAGGGAGTTGGACGGCCGCGTGTCGATTGTAAACGAAATGGCAGCGGTAAGATTATTCTTTCTATTGTAATAATCAATGATAATGATGAAGCTAAAAAAAAAAAAAAAAAAAAAAAAAAACTTAGAAGGAGAGACTGTTAATTCGATATTTTCACGCTGTTTTTACGTTTTTTTTTATGGCAACGTTTAATATCACACTTTTTTTTTTTTTCACATTTTTTTTACTTTTTTCATTCTAAAAAGCGCACTTTCGTCGAGATTCTGGGTCACGTACGCGCATAAAATCACTAACAGTTAACCAAAGTCATACTCGTACCAACACATTCTTATCACGACACCTTTATACACATACGCTTATGTACGTGTGAGTGGCATTTATGCACTTCACATGATGTTGACGTTCTGACGTAGAAAGGAACAAACTATGCGTATGGCATGTATCGCAAGTAGTTCACCGATGACTTTGTGAAAGTGCATCGTTAGGGAGGATAAAAAGCAAAAAAACGTTCAACTCTACACCACTCCACAAATGTACGCATCGTTAGGGGTGAAAAGGCATTGAAAAAAATCGACATGGGTCGCACACAAAATCATCTCGGTAACCATGATCTCTTTTTTTTTGTTTTAAAAGGCACTAACTATTTTTTTTTCCCCTTTATTTTCTCTAAAATTTACATGCGATTTCTAGGTCACCGAACGCAAATACAGCGCCAGGACGGGCATGTCAATATTTAAAGAAATAATACAGTCCAGCGATTCCCGCGCGTTTCCTTGCGTACGCACATGTATACACTTAGCTCTTTAATAGTTTATATAAACAAGCGATTATCCCTGTACTTTTTAGAATCACAGTGAAAAAAATTTTACGTCGGTAATTTTTACCACAAAACTGGTGGAAGTAATTACAGAAATTACAGTAAAAATGACCTGTATATGTAACAATTAAGAATGAAGAATCATTTCAATACTTACAGAGTAAGTCTAAATAATTTAGTTATTTGAATAGTAAGTACAGCAGTGCAGTAGTTTTTACCGATGGGCTCAGGTAAAAATGACACGCAGTAAAAGTTTAAATTACTACAAACTACGGTAACAATAATTGCAAATTAAACGGCATCTTAAATTTACCATTTTAATTTTACAAAAAATATTAGTTTTTCAATAATATATCATATAAACGCATATTGTGTGAATCTCATCAACACACAGTTATTAAAAATACAACGATGATACAGTCATTTTTACTCATGTTATTCAGCATTATTTACCACAAATTAATACTGTAGTAAATTATACGGTATCTCCAACCATCGTAAACTTGTGGTAAATAATACTCTGATATTTTTTGTTCTCATATCCACAAGTTTGTGTCCATAAAATAAAAATAATATCAGATAGAAGAGAAGTAAGGGATAATATTTTGTAACAATTACCGTGTCATGATAACTCAGTGTCTCGTTACTGCGGCTAGTCAAAAGACCCAATGCAATATTCATCAACCCCAGTTACGACAGCCAAAAATAGTCACGATTTCCATGCATCAATCGTCGAGTTCATATATCTCCCTAATACTCCTAGCATCGATTTTCTTCTGTACAACACACCCACTTACGTGCATTAAAGGTCTTAAGGGTAGAACTCGTGTAAAAGTACACAAAAGACAGATAGCTCAGAAGTCTTACACGATGTGTGTATTTCGGATTGTTCGGAGTAAAGACATTTTGTATACGGCAGTTGTGGAATGAGATGGCATACCCTTTTCGTTTGGCTTTACAATTTGATTTGCTCAGCGAGTTACGACTGCTTCGTGACTTTAGCGTAACTTTTGGCTGTTTGAATCTTGGTTTACGGCTGGCCTGTATTTTATTCCTGATGGATTTTTATTCTGCACCAGAATCAGTTTTTCTTTTCAATTACATTAAGCATTGTTATTATTATGTATACATACATAATTGATGATACTTTTTGTTGCTGCAAGATTATACTTAACGTCACAAGAGGAATTTTTGAAGTAATTTTTAGCATAGCTTCGCAATAGTTTGTTTATTACACTAAAATTAATATTATCAAGCGATACTTTTTGTTATCAAACTACGATCATTTTTCCCCTGCGATTAAGGAAAAAGATAACGTTAAAAATTAATAGTGTATCGATAATACGGATACTTCGTTATTCGATATTTTAAGGTTATTGATAAGATAAATATCGTTATTATCGACATATGATCAATTTTTGCCTTCGTTTTTATCTTAAAATAGGGAATGAAATACCGCAGCTTCAAGACAAAATGTATTTTTATTGGACATTTTTTACTGCCATAAGCTTGTGTGAAAATTACTAGCTTACCATGTAAAAATACCTTTAACTATTATTTTCACATAAAGAGTATACAAGCAAAGTTCAAAGCAAATCACAATAAATTGTTTGGTTACGTACAGCCCTTGGTTATAGTTAGAATGATCTGTACGAAATGATGCATGTAAATGCTCTTGGTAATAATTCTCAGATACAATTCCAACGACAGGATGTATAGGGTTAACGAACAAATCGATACTGATAATTGCGCAGTCGCGCGTAATAAAAGTATGAGCAAGAAAATAAGTATTTCTATAGATTGTATGAATGTCTGTGATTTTGAACTCACTGGTATAGCCCCGACGTTGTATTATTGCTCGGTAATTTGAACGTACACGTGAATCGGAAAAAATTGCAGAGGCCCATTATCTGTTCGGGATTTGGTTGATTCTTTGAGAAAAGAACATAGTTATTTCTTTCTTGATATCTATCTCTGTGTACCTGTTTTTTTTTTTATAATTGCGTTATCGTTAACCTATATTTAGAATAATAGGCATCATATATATATAACACGATGTGCAGACGTCAATAAAAGAGCTTGCGGGAGTATACTTTTGAGAGATCCAACAATCGCAAAGAAAACGTACGTATACTTTGTAATGTGGGTAAAATCAAAGGCCACTTTCAATGCTCGTCTGACCTACTCTTTTTTATCTCTATTTTTTTTACCCTTCGCGATTTTCTGGAAACTCCTTGCACACGTGACCTTCGAGGTATGTACACGAAGTGTCTGTTACGTGAAAGGGGGGTGACATCGAAAATCCATAATATGTAGCCGATAATCTTCCCGCGTAAAAGCTTCCTTGCTAAAACGTAGCTTAAAGTTGATGGATAGAGATGTTTTAGCGAGTTCACTATATATTTTTTCAAATAACTTTATGAAAACGTTACTTATTCCATGAGTGAATTTATAGTAAACAGTAAAAAAAGAGAGAGGCCGTATCGGATTTATGTTTTAATAAGTTATGATCTGCATATGTTGTTATTATTATTATTAAATACATACACTGAGAGAAAAAAAAATTATAGAGAAATTCTAGCAAAAATTACCTATCCTGGAATAGTAAACATTTAAAGGATCAGTTAGTAAATTTTACGCATCTGAATTTTTACTGTTCTAACCATAACGTTTACTTTTCGAACCATAATTTTAACTGTTAAAACAGTAATCTTTACTATTATAAATATTAATTTTATTCTTTATTGCCAACTTGCATCCGATTTATTGTGCAAAATGATAATTTTTGGTGGAATTTCTCTATAATTACCATTTTTTTCTCTCAATATACGCACTCCTATAAAATTTAACTGAGCTTTGAGGACAGCCTAAAAGGAAGTATAATCCATTTTTTATGCGAATCATAATAATCTTTATGGTTACACAGCCTTGCACGAGTAGATTTTATGGGTTTTTTATGCGAAATAATTTTTACAATGTTGAAATGATAACGCGCGTACTTGGAACTTATATAGAGCGTATTATGAATGATGGTGGGTGTAAAATAAAGTCCATCAGATTTTATGTTTGATAATTTTTTTCGATATCGCTAGTTGGAAAAAAATAGCTGCATTGTAACATTGATGATTCAGTTACGTTCATTTCATGATTTTTTTTTTTTTTTTCTAATTAAATCCTTATTGTACCCCCCCCCCCCNTTTGTATATCCAAGAACGGTAGTCATAAATAAAATTAAACTACTTTAATAATATAAAAAATGTGAGCAATAAGTTACAAACTAAAAACAGGTTTGCATTACTTTTAAGATTTAAGCTAAAAAATAAGCTTTATTTTTGACTTTTATAGAATTCGTAACAATAAGTGATGTAAAAAATTGTTTTTTTTTGCGAATTTGTGAAATTTATTTAGTTCACAAAAATTTTTGAATTAAAGTAGATACAGGAAAAAACTAATTATAATTAGTATGCTAAGATTTTACTTCCACTGAACTGCATAACTTTGGGAAAATTAGTAATGATCAATCAATGGTTTTTCTTCTTGCTGACTAGTTCACTGATTTTATGATAATATTATTTGTTAGTAATTAAATCAGTTTGTGCTGCAAATGTGTTCTTGAAGTTGTACGAAAATTAAAAAAATTTTTTATTTAAAGCTAAAATTTAAGTCTTACGAACAGCTTTTAAAATTAAAATTAATTACTAAATGGACGAAGCAAATAAAAAACTGTGTAAATTTTCGTTATTTGTAAATGACGGTAAATTTATCGATTGATGTTGCGTAGTTTAAAAATTACGAAACTTTCATTTGAAGCATTGACTTGTTTAAATTGAAACGTTTTGACGAGCAGGTACTCAAATGACAATACCTTTTATTATTTCACTATTTTTTTTTGTTTTGGGAATTGATGCGCTTTTTTTTATTGCATTAGATTAAAACAAGTTCATTTTTTCGCCTTGAGTATTAACAAAGATTGTTGACGACACTTTCACGAATAATTTATAGTAAAAATCATAATTATGACTTTGAAAATGTAACAATTAAAAAGTTACTAACTTTTCAAATCTTACAATACATTTTTTAAGCTTCATATTATTCCTTAAATTTATGGAAAAAATTAATTGCAGTGTTTAAAAAAGTACTTATACCAAAGTCTGCTTGTGTTTAACAAATATGTAAATTATATGACCTGCAAGCAGAGATAGTACACAATTAAAATGTATTTCTTGGGAAG